ATATTGGAAGCCAGTGGAGTTGCCGCATGTGTGGTTGAATGTGGTCATGTTTCTTTGATTTAAAAATGAGTCTGCATGCTGAGTTCTGTGCCTTCTAATATATATATATATATATATATATATTAGATATAGCTCACCAAACTTTGGCGACAGCAATGTGTGAACTCCCCATCTACTAAAGTTACTTGACAAACATGAGCTCAAGAAACGAACATTGAAGAATCCCAATTTTCGCTACACCCCTTCCCCCATGATACGTCAATGCACACTTTTTATTTCAAGCCCATGAACCATATTAAATATTCTGATGCCCCAACCACTTTTAAACCGAATATATGCTTACACCATACTTAAATTGAGACGATTTCATTTTCCCAGAAGAAAATATTACGGACGAAACGCAGATGTGTTATTCGAAAAAAAACAAACAAAACATTTATCCTAGTTATCGGGAATTATATTTTCCGCGCTGTTGAACTCATTATTGTACCATACTTTCTTTCAAACATTTAAAATTATTTGTAATATACTCACGATACGCTGATTAGTAAGCAGCATATTAGGAACCATTTTATTAGAAAGCAGTCAACGAGCCACACCAGAAGCGTTATAGATATATAAGATACATTTATGTATAAATATATATATATATATATACATATATATATATATGTATATAAATATATATAGATATACATATATATATATATATATATATAAATATATGTATATATTTGTAAGTATAATTTCGAGATCTAATTACAATTGGTCGATGAAAACCACTGTATAACTAGAATAACTGGCAGCCCGCTTCATTAAACATTGATAGTTTGACATGCCTTTCAACAGAACTGAAGCTGGAGTCAGTGCCGCCCCCGGAGTGGGCCAAGATTTTTTCCGCCCCATTTTACGAAAAAAATAATAATTCAGCAATGACCGAAAATGAAGCTTCTCAATATAAGTTTAAAAAAAGTACAGCCCTGGACGGGGTGCCCCTTCGCTGTCCGCTCCCTATACGCCATAGTCCTTCCATTAACATGAGACTTGCGATGCGTGTCCCAAGGTCTCTTCTGTTCATCGGTTTTTCGCGACATATTTTATAACGATATTTCCCATTTTAGCAATTATATAATTATGTGTTTTTTTTAATAACAAAACCCAATTTTCCAAGAAAGCATCTGGACATATCAATGAGATTAATTTCATTCATCATTCAGGTCTTAGAGTAAAATGTATGAAAAAAAATGATTTTTAACCTTAGTGGCTATTCCACGAATGATGAATGTTTAAGAAAATCTTCTCAAATAGTATTTACCTTAACCTATTTTTTTCTTCCTTTTTTAAAACTTAATCCCAAAATAAATGCAAACTCATTTAACCAATAAGGACATAAGTCGCCCAATGGGCAAAGTTGCGACTTAGGGAAGGTTGTTTCGCAAATAAAAATAGCAACAAAAATGATTTAAAATTAATGTCCACTTTAATGAAATATGGATGAATTAATTAAATGAAAAGTTAAAGTCTAATTGGTCATGGCCTCTCTTTTTAAAACATATATTATTAACAGTTTTATCGCCATTTAAGCTATCTTTTTTGTTTAATTGACATTAGAAGCAGATGTTCTTCATAACTTAAATAAAACCAGACGCTCTCGTTCATTTACAATTAAAATGTTCTTTAAATGTTAACAGTTAGAGACAGGAGTTCTATCTGCTTTGTATTTGCGGTTAACGTTCTGCATTATTGTCCCATCCTAATATAGTCTCTGCTTACCCCCCCCCCCCCCCCTTTTTTTTTAATGTTATCATTTAAAGACAGGGGTTTTTTTTTTTTTTTTTTTTCGTTTATCTTTTTCTATTTTTTCCCCCCCCTATAATATTCCTTCTTTACCCCCCCCCCCCCCCTTTTTTCACCGCAAGACTTTGCTACCTAAATGTTTTATGTCATGATCGTACCATAAGCGGATTCACCTTGAGGTGAGGTTATTGTTACGCCCTTGAAATAGTGGTGATGATGGAATTTTTTTTTTTAAAAGTCGCGTCTGCAAATCATGAATCACGAGTAATTCACATCGCCCGGTCACAAAATTGGATTGTGTAACATGTCACACCTGAGTGGAGTCAGTGAACCGGAACATTTAAGTTGCTTTTTTTTTTTCTTTCAATGCATGCACGATGAGCTCATTCTCATTGATCTGGGAGATTTCTCTTGTTAAGTAAAAGTCCTGTTAAGATGTCTAAGAAGATTGAAGTCTGGAAACAGTCGGGGTACAAGTCAGACGAAGAGGTCAGTTTATTTTTACCCTTTTTGGCTAATTTTGGAGCGATAGCACCCTGACGTCATTTGCTGTGTTTTGTTCCTGGTTCCGTTAGGGTCAAAACCCAGGTTGGGGATACGTTTAGGGTTCACGTTTGGTTTAGGGATACATTTAGGACAAAAGTTCGCAGGTCGCGGCGAACAAGATGGCGGCCACCGTGCTGTATCCCCAACTTACCAATTTTAAAAAAAGAAAACCCCCTGAAAGTAAATCAAGCATTGCTAGTGACCAGTCATTGTATTTATGGACTAAATCATGTAATCAAATCCGTAATCGACCGTGTAAAAGTGTAGATCCTCTGTGTACTGAGTCGATACAACCTCACAGATGTCATCAGGCTTTTTTTGCCTTGAATAAAAACCTTTAAAATAAAATCTAAAATAAAAGTATTTAAACAGCCGAAGATAGATTTACAACATTGAAATAAATTCATTTCAATATTACGTTCCTGAATTAGATGGAGTTTTTTGTCGAACCGACATGGCTAAAGTTGTGTGTAATTGTTTGCTGACATGTTTATGTTAGTTGATTAACCAAAGGAAGAGACCTGAAACCTTTTCGACTTTATCCAGCGTTAATTCTCCTGCTACTGCTATTTTCAGTGTAAAATTTTTAACCACTTCCTCCACCCCCCCCTCACAATTACTTGTTTATATAGTGGACATCGTTACAAATACGTTAATTTAAAAAAAGTGAAAAAAGCGTTATAACACAAGAGGAGACAGGTTAAAACACAAGTAGAGGTGACACGTTAAAATATTAGAAGAGATACGTTAAACCAGTAGCTGAGACAAATTTGTAGTGAATCTCTGCACGTCTCGAAGGTTGTGCTGTTGTTGAACTCGGCAAAACTCCGCAGTATGAACATGGCCATGAGGTGTTGCTGGGCAAAGGTTAAAGGTCACAAAACGAATTACAGTGCAACTCGTTGTTGAGATTACAAAGCAAGAAACTGCAAAGTCAATCATGTCGAAACCTGGTCTATTAATATTACAATAGCGTATATTCGGAAGATATAGGAACCTAATATTTACACGGTTTCGTTTAGCTTTTATTTTGTAGAGGGCATAGTCAATGCTGTAGAAGTGTTGATTTGAATTAAATTTATAATGTGGTTCATAGATTATAAAGATTGCAATCAGGGATTTTTTAAAATTAAAAAAAAAATAAACTGAACTAATATATCGTAAGTGGAATTTTTTATTAAACTTTTTCGACGTGGAGGGACAGCAGAATTATGCGCCTTGACCTTGGGCGCAGAAATGTGTAAATTGGGCCCTGCGTTTATGAATCACTCCATGCGTGGCATACTAACTTCTATTCTGTCATGTTGAAACTTACACATTTTTTTATTGATTTAATCCACAGAAAAAGTATTTTGAAAATTTTGAAGAGCTTCTTGAGATGAGGGCTAAAGTCTACGCGAGGCTGGTAGGTTCGTTTTTATGTAGGGCTGCATGGCTCACATAGCTGTAAGGCAAAGTTTAGATAACTGATGTTCTTTTGATAGCAGTATTCTTTCCCCGCATTAAGTCCCTTGTCTAATGCTTTTTTAAAAGTTAAATCGACCCAATAAAACAACAACCTTCCTCCCCCACCTCACTTCCTTAAAATACATACCCACATCGATAAAAAATATATGCATCTGGAAAACAAAAAGCAATGAAATAATCGATCTTTTAAATTTGATTTATAGAAAACCAGTCACAACATTTATTTCTTGGAAGTTGTCAAATACAAATTTAACTAATGAACTTGAAATAAGAAATGTAGCTTAAAAGCCTCCTACGTGGTCCAGTAAGTATCCTATCAAACTCCGTTTAAAACAATCAATTACTTTTATCAATTCCCTTTCACCAATCAACTCTCTTAATCTATTCCCTTTCACGGATCAATTCCCTTATTCAATTCCCCTTTACCGATCAATTCCCTTAATCGATTCCCTTTTACCGATCAATTCCGTTAATCAATGCCATTTTACCAATCAATTCCCTTAATCAACTCCCTTTTACCAATCAAATTTCCGTTTACCAATCAATTCCCTTTTACCGATCAATTGATTTTTACCGATCAATTCCCTTTTACCAATCAATGCCCCTTTACCGATCAATTCCCTTAATTCACTTTTACCGATCAATTCCCTTAATCAATTCCCTTTTACCGATCAATTCCCTTTTACATGCCTTTTTACCGATCAATTCCCTTTTATAGATCTATTCCCTTAATCAATGCCCTTATACCGATCAATTCCCATAATTAATTCCCTTTAACCGTTCAATTCTCTTTTAACAATCAATTCCCTTTTAAAAATCAATTCCCTTCCAGCAATCAGTTCGCGCTTTACAAATGAAGTCTTCTTCGAGTCAAAACCCTTTCATCGAAACAATCCCCTTTTGTCTAATTTATTTCTTGTCTCTAATCTATGCAGTTTTGTCAATGAAGTTTCTATCTGCAAATCGATGCATGTTTGTCCAATCAATGCCCTTTCATCCAGTCAATAAATTTGTATCTAATTAATGTCTCTCCTGTAATCAATGCCCTTTTCACCAATAAATGCCCTTTCCCCCAGTCAATGTCCCTGTGACCAATCAATTCCTTTTATCACAATGTGCTACTGTCTAAACATTCACTATTTTTCTAATCAATTATCGATAGCTCTATGTCATAACAAGTCCCTTTTAAAATCATCCAGCTACCGAATCCGGTACCAAGTATTTGTTCGATTTCCGAATTACATAATGCATCGAGCTATTTATTGATAAACCTGAAATTTCTAATTATTTCTTTCTCTGTAAAAATGAAATAGAAACATGACAGTTAGTTATGGATTATTGTTACACTTTCTTCTCCCTAGACACAACTGATCCTTGTGCGAACGATTGAGGAATTTCTTCCCCCCCCCCCCCCCCCTTCTAAATGTATTTCTTAGAAATGGATGCCTAGTGATCTCTTCGTTCCCGACAAACTACGCATCGTGCAAGCTAAGCTCCTGGAAAAGTACAGACTCAAACCTTCCACCGGTCAGACTCAGTCGGAACGTGCGCCACGCGACCAAACACTGCCTGGTAGTGGAGTGCTGCAGCCAGCCAATCACATCACCAACGGACAGAATCTGGGGAAAAAGATCACTATGCAAGGTTGGCTTTTGCGATGGCTGATTTTAATATAATATTTTTTTTTTTTTAAATTAATCTGTGTTAATACTAGCTTGGGTCGTAAAGCTTACAATGAACGTTTTTAAAAGATCTTAGAGGCAGAGAGTAATCAGACTTTGTTAGCTTATTGCTACAAAAAACAAGAATGGTCAAAGCCATTAAAATATACAATAGTTTGTTAAAAGCACTTTTATTTTTTAGCTATAAAAATTGTAAGTTCTAAGTACGTCACCCTACTATCAACGTCACCTTACTATCAACGTCACAATAATTTAAACGTCACCCTACTTTAAACGTCACCGTATTATTTTCGTCACCCTACGATCCACGACATCATACTATCGACGTCACCATAATATCAACGTCACCCTACTATCAACATCACCCTACTATCTAAGTCACCCTACTATCAACGTCACCCTACTATCAACGTCACCCTAATTTAAACGTCACCCTACTATCGACGTCACCCAACTATCGACGTCACCATAATATCAACGTCACCCTACTATCAACGTCACCCTACTATCAACGTCACCCTACTATCAACGTCACCCTACTATCAACGTCACCCTAATTTAAACGTCACCCTACTATCAACATCCCCCTACTATCAACGTCACCCTACTATCAACGTCACCCTAATTTAAACGGCACCCTACTATCAACGTCACCCTACTATCAACGTCACCCTACTATCAACGTCACCCTTCTATCAACGTCACCCTACTATCAACGTCACCCTACTATCAACGCCACCCTACTATCAACGTCACCCTACTATCGACGTCACCCTACTATCAACGTCACCCTAATATCAACGTCACCCTACTATCAACGTCACCCTACTTTAGACGTCACCCTACTATCAACATCACCCTACTCTCAACNCTATCAACGTCATCCTACTATCAACGTCACCCTACTTTCAACGTCACCCTACTATCAACGTCACCCTACTTTAAACGTCACCCTACTATCAACGTCACCCTACTATCGACGTCACCCTACTATCGACGTCACCCTACTATCGACGTCACCATACTATCAACGTCACCCTACTATCAATGTCACCCTATTTTAAACGTCACCCTACTATCGACGTCACCCTACTATCGACGTCACCATACTATCGACGTCACCATACTATCAACGTCACTCTACTATCGACATCACCATACTATCAACGTCACCCTACCATCAACGTCACCCTAATATCAACGTCACTCTACTATCAACGTCACCTTACCATCACTATCTCTTGCTTTGCACAGCATTATCCCCTGTCATGTGAATATTTTAACATATTATATTCTCCACAGCCCTAGACACGGTCAGCGTAAAAAAGGTGAACCCTCCGGAAATCCAACCAAGGAATGGAAAGAATGATGTCAGAGTTGATGAAAACTGCTCGGATGATTATACATCGGATACTGACACATCTTTAAGCGTGTCTAGCAGTGATTGATAGGAGTCAAGGCCAAGTGTAGCAATTGAGTTTGTTTGTCTGGCAGTGATTGATAGGAGTCAAGGCCAAGTGTAGCAATTGAGTTTGATTGTCTTGCAGTGATTGATAGGAGTCAAGGCCAAGTGTAGCCATTGAGTTTGTTTGTCTTGCAGTGATTTATATCAACAAAAATGCGGTGTTGTTTATTTCAATTCTTGTTTTGATAAAGGAATGTTACGGTCCAAGTTTATAAATTTCTTATGACAATCAACTACCAGGTGTCAGCTGGTTTCCTTTAACGTGTCTGATGCTTGATGTGTGACTTATAAATGCTGGATGGTAGATACTTTAATTGTGCAACTGCCAGCTGTTGGATGTTAGACTTTCTGATGCTTCATGTAAATATTGAGAGTTGGATAATTTGATGTTTCGATGTGCAACTGTGAATTATTGGGTGTTAGTCTGATGCTTTGTATATGACTGAACTTGTCTGGTCGCAAATGAAATTTGTTTTAACATATATAAAATGAATGCATCTGGTTCTCGGGTCCCTTGCTGTGTTTAGTTTAACTTATCACAATGAAGTAACGATGTTACATAAGAAAATTTTGTACGCGTTATTTCTTAATTATCTTATTTCAGTATAAACTATATAAATTTCTAAGTATTGAAATGTTTTCAAATGCTGTAATTGAATTGAGATTTTAGTTGAGAAATAAAAATGAACAAATACTTTGTTATCTCTTCAGTTACGATCTCTTTCACGAAAGTTGGAGATTTGGTTGATTCAACTAAAATATTTTGTCCACCAAATTCCCTACGCCTTGAAGAGCTAAAATGTCTATACCTGCTAATCTTTGCCATACAATTTAATTCAAAATTAGACGTATTTAATATTTTTTTAAAGTTTAGAAGTTTAAAAGAAATTATGATTGGTCAAAGCAACAGAGTTCTTTTGATTGTGTGAGTAATGTACGATCTGTTATTTGAAAATTGCATCAAAGAAATGCTTCAAGTTCAGAAAACACATGCCCCACTACCACATTCTTCCACTAATAGCATCTACTAACGCATGGTTTGGCAACCTTTGCATGGCAAATAGCAAAATATTAAATTTCGTTATGGTTACTAGCAGTATCCGAGAGCTACACAAGAAAGACGGAGCCGCATGCGGACCGCAAGCCACAGGTTTCCGACACCTGTTCTAAAACATATCAGTACAAAAATCCACATACTCTCATCCAATGTTTCCTCTAAGAGTCGGTCCACACTATCAAATTTTCCTTCCAACATTTGATGCAATTCATGTTTGAAGGCACTATTTTGTGTGCGGATTTTTGAACATATTAGAGCAATTTTTTATTCACGTTCAAGCAATTGTATGAGATAACCAATCGAAGACAATTCTTTCGTTCACGTGACTTCACTGCTGATTTCTTAAAATGGCAGCGATTCAAGCAAAGTGCGCTGTGATTAAATTTTTTTAAACAAGTTATGGTCAAGTTACTCACAACTTGAAAGGATATATGCCATTTTGGATGCTAAAAAACTTCTGGTTCTGGTTCTGGTAATGTTTCGTTGCTGCATCCATGTACTGGCATCTTTGCAACGGTTTGGGGTATGATGTTGCTATTCTAACAGCTCCTAGCTGATGCCAGGGCAGCCTTGAAGCTTTCGACCGATGTCGAGTTCACACTCGCATCGTTCAGGTGGTTCCATGCTATTATTGTGCTTGGCAAGAAATATTGTTGATAATGCACTGTTTTGCACTGAGGCACTTTGAAGCATTTGCTATTGTTTTGGGTGTAATTGTTTTGTTTATGGGAATGTCAGTGGTGAAGTCAGTGTTCATTGAGCATTTTGATCTGATCAGTCTACCCAGCTTCTGTGGGGTGAGGTACGTGGCTGCTGGGATGGCCGACACCAGTCCCATGACCATTTTATAGAAGAATATCAGGCGGAAAGCCTCTCGTCTGTCTTTAAAAAGGGTAATGTCAAATCTTTTAAGAGGCCATTGACGAAGCCAGGAGTGGTGGATTTGTAGTCGCGAGCGATAAAACGCACCGTGTTACGTTAAAGTCGCTCCATCTTGTCCACGTCTTGCTTAACGTGTGGGTCCCAGATGGTCGCACTATATTCCAGTAATGGACGGACGAGATCGAGATAGGCATTTCGTTTGCAGGAAGTTGGGCAGTGGCGCAGATTTCTTCGGATGAAACCTAGGATGGAGTTGGCTTTTTTTAAAATTTTGTTTATATGAGGTGACCATTTTAGGTTATTTGAGAAAAGAATTCCAAGGTATGGACTATTGGATACTTCTTGGAGAATGGTCTTGTTTAGTGAGTAAAAATGGGTTGATGTTTGTTTTCTTGAGATTGTCATAGTGTACATTTGGTTTCATTAAATTTCATGCCCCATTTGTCCGCCAAATTCATAAGGCACTTCAAATCTGTTTGAAGGTGGTTGTGGTCGCAGATTTCTTCGGATGAAACCTAGGATGGAGTTGGCTTTTTTTAAAATTTTGTTTATATGAGGTGACCATTTTAGGTTATTTGAGAAAAGAATTCCAAGGTATGGACTATTGGATACTTCTTGGAGAATGGTCTTGTTTAGTGAGTAAAAATGGGTTGATGTTTGTTTTCTTGAGATTGTCATAGTGTACATTTGGTTTCATTAAATTTCATGCCCCATTTGTCCACCAAATTCATAAGGCACTTCAAATCTGTTTGAAGGTGGTTGTGGTCATCATTGCTGTTTATCTCTCTGTAGATAAGACAGTCATCAGCGAACAGCCGCACTTGAGAATTTACTGTATCGGGTAGGTCGTTTATGTGACAGAGAAAGAGAAGGGGGCCCAGCACTGTGCCTTAAGTCTACGGTGGCTTTCCCTGATTGGACGCCGTCCACCACTTCTTGCATGGTACGTTGTGTTAGTAATGTTGAGAGAAAGGAGTGAAGGTTGCCAGTAATGCCGTAGTGGTGCGGCTTATGTAGAAGAAGGCTGTGTGGAACAGTGTCAAAAGCCTTGGAGAAGTCGAAAATTGCCATGTCGACCTGGGTACCTTTGTCATAGGAGGCCAGGAGGTCATTGGTGGTGGTAATTATTGAGTTTCCGTTGAGAATCCAGAGCGGAAACCGTGATTTAGGTTGGTCAAATTGTTGTAGTGCTCTAGGTGGTTCATGATGTGGCGATAGATGATGTGTTCCAGGATTTTGCATGGGACGGAGGTCAGGGATATTGGGCGGTAGTTTTCTGTGTTGTGATGGTGACCTTTCTTGTAGGCACTAGTGATGTTTGCATCAATATTTAGTACAGTAACAGTAATAGGCTATTACCATTATACAGATATTACCATACTAATAATAAATGTTGGCTTATTTATATTTCACCATCAGAAGCCTGGCAGCTAAGGATTGCTTAGACGATGGGCCCTGACTGCCATGCTAACTTAAAGAATGGTAAGTTGAACTCGTCGCCAGTCATGATTCATAATAAGTATGCAATTGTAGTATTAGTTATTAATAGGGTCTATACGCGCAATTAATTTATTCATTGCATAGTCAGAGGAAATTTCAGCAATTTATGAAAAATTAATATAACACTCCCACTGAATATTATAGACCGACTAATCACTAAATAATAAATTAGTATGCGTATACTTATTAAGCTAAGTAACTAAGCATAATACTTGTACTGCATATGTGTAAGTAGCCTTTATACTGTATAATATTTAGTACAGTAACAGTAATAGGCTATTACTATTATACAGATATTACCATACTAATAAATTTGCCCTTTTTATAATTGATAGAGAAAAAAAAATAGATAATAAATCATGACAGTTCATTATTCTAATACTAATAGTAATACTAATATTAATATTAACAGTAATAATACATCCATCAATATTTTTTCACCAGTCTAGTTCTAATAAAGTATCATTGATATTCACAAGCCTCAAATGGGTTATATGTAGAAACTTAATTGTTTTATTCGAACTACCATAATTCTTTTAATATTATATATTTTAATATATTATTACTGTATACACAAAGATACTTTAAAATGATAATTATTTCGACATTTGCAACCAGTAACTTAAATAAAAATGTAAAATTCTTCAATATTAATGACACTTATTTTAATATCACAATAAAATCTCATTACCATATTTGTTCTCCATTGATACCAATTTTATTACCATAACAAAAATGAAAATAACTACTTTTCTGCTAAAAAATATACAAAATGTTAAGTAGAAAAAACATGATAGCTATTTTAATGATGAAATTCTGTCCTTATTATTATAAAATGTTGTTATAAGGGTTTCCCCACTTTGGGTGTTACCACCCTAAAATGGTGCTAATGGGAACTTAACCACCCAACTTCTATCAAAATAAGCCATCATGCACTTTACCACTCTTCATCTCTTAAACGAATCCATCAGGCACAATTCCTCCCAAAATTTCCACTCAAAAAAGGTGACAGCATCAATTTAACATAGAAAAATATAATTGTTATCATTTATCATTGAAAACCTGTGATACAAATATGGGAGGCTTTTGATTAGTTTTAGTATTTCCACCAAAAGCTTGAAAAAATAAGAAAATTCCATATTTCAAATACTTGATTGTCTGCATTATTGTTCAATCAACATATATGTAATGTATGATAACTGGGAAATACAAGCGTATACACTTTAAAATGAGTAGTTGTTTGATCTTACCTTTATAATGTAGGCCTAATATTTTTAAAAAAATATTTGTATGTGTAATAAATAAAATGTTTTTCTTTTTTGTTTCTTTCAGAAATTATTAAAATCAGCAATGACTCGTATTCACAATCCCATAACTTGAAAGAAAAGAAAATGACAGAATCTTTATAGTCAACAATAATTGAGACATCCTTCCTATTTGAAAATTTGGAATGACTACTAAATACTACTATTAATGGTAGTGCTTCTTGATAACTTCATTCAGCACTGCTTATTTTTAATAAAATATTATACAATTTATTTCTGAGTTCTTTGTGAAATCTGTGATTGGACTTGTAGGTTTTAAATTATTTTTAATAGAGAATACCACTCCCTTATATATTATCTGTCATAATTTGGAGCAGATTTTAAGTTAGAATACCAGTATATAAATGATAAAACTATAGATAATCTTACTCAATATAAATTTTTTAACCTATTGCAGAGTACTACAAATGAGTGTACTATGAATTTTAATGCATAATTCAGAAATGATTTCCATGGTAAATGAATGTTGACAAAAATGTACCCAGTTATAAAGATTTGATAGAGCTGGAAAAGATATCTAGAGACTAGAAGCCTTGGAAAGTAATAGTTAATTGCCTATGCTCCACTGGCAGTTATCAGACAGACAAGAAGTCTACTGAAATTTCTCCTTTCTAACTACTGGTATCTCAAAACTTTTCAAACAATTCTTCAAATTGACAATTAAATGAGTCAAAAAATTATATTGATTATTGTTTTCTTCATTGACTTTATTTATGAATATGGAGTAGAACATAACTACACCTGTACA